TAGAGAAACTGATTTTCTTTTTTTTTTTTTTCGAGACATATCACTCTGTTGCCCAGGCTGGAATGCAATGGCGTGATCTCAGCTCACCATAACCTCTGCTTCCCGGGTTGAAGTGATTCTCCTGCTTCAGCATCCTGAGTAGCTGGGACTTCAGGTGTGTGCCACCACACCTGGCTAATTCTTTTTCTATTATTAGTAGAGATGGGGTTTTGCCGTGTTGGCCAAGCTGTTCTTGAACTCCTGACCTCAAGTGATCTGCCTGCCTGGGCCTCCCAAAGTGCTGGGGTTACAGGAGTAAGCCCAGCCTAAAACTGATTTTCTTTACTCAGTGGGTGCGAGAACTGACAAAGGGAAACAAAAATTTAAAAAACTATTAGACATGCTAATATGTTAACTGTACAACTCCATCTAACAGTTTCTCTTTAATTTTGCAATAACATTAAGATGTAATCTGAATAGAGTTCTTATATTGCAATTCAGCAAATTTTTACATGGCCATGACTTTTATTCAGAACTAAGTATGAAGACAAGGTCTCTAGAGGATCTCACTCTAGAGATAAAACCAACAAACAGTAATATTATGTAAACTTCAACAGAAGATAATTTGTATTAAGTTAAAGGGAATTAATACTTTAACAACCACAGCGTTTTTAGCTAAGAATTCGCATTTCCTTTGAAGAAACAATTACTATTCCACTGTGCATCTGAGGGTATGTCACATAGCCCATACACATAAACTAATTTAAAAGCTGTTGCCAATCAATAAATTATCATCTCATGAAGATTAAACAGTAGATATCTATTTAGATTTAATCAAGCATTTAGAAAACGCCTGATGCTAACAAAAATTAGCCAGGCCATGGTGGCGCCCACCTGCAGTCCCAGCTACTCCCAGCTACCTGGGAAGCTGAGGTGGGAGGATCACTTAAGCCTGGGCAACACAGTGAATCTCTGTCTCAAAAAAAAGGAAGAAGAGAAAAGAAATGGCCAACAACTTTACAAACCTATAATCACACAAAAAGTTGTAAAACATATGAGACGTGGCTAAAGTCAAACAAATACTTCATAGAGCCATGTTATGACTTAACAATCACAAAAGGAAGTGAATTTATCTCTACTAAAGTGAATATAAATATTGCAATCATTCTTTTTCTGGCATAATTATGTTTTGGAACTATGTCTTCTATAAAAAGTATCTGAGTTCCCACCTGTCCCAGTTGTGCTGGCTGCCAACTACAAGCACCCTCTGTCCTTATTTTCCTAAATCACTCTACTAAAAATATTATTCACACAATATCTGCAAAATAGTATTTCAATATTGGTTCTGCAAATCAGTCAAAGGTATCTCTCCAATTTTCAAGAGCTAACTCCAATCCTGGGGTTGTCAGTGAGAGGAAGATTTGGTATTGGCCTAGACTGTGGCAACTTCACTGTGCCCCCTTAACCCAGAAACTTGCACTGACCACATTTTTACTGTGTGGCAAATACATGTGTCAACTTAAAACGTTGGAAGTGGAACCAGTCCATGTTGAGTATCTGTAAAATCCAAGCGTCCAAATTCTTGTTTCATGTTTAACTTTTAAAATCCGAGTGTCCAAATTCTTGTTTCAAGTTTAATTTTTAAAATCTGAGTATCCAAAGTCTTGTTTCAAGTTTTTAAAACTTAAAGGTAATGTAGTAAATCTTTTTTAGGATCTTAACACGTCTGGTATTTAAACTTATTTACGAAAGAAAAATACGATGAAAAAAAGGAGGACACCATTACTGTCAATAAATCCAAATGATATCATGTTCAGAATCACGTCTTTCACTACCTTCTTGAAACATCACTTCCTCTCCACTACTTCCCCCAGTCCTTTAGGCAAATCAGTGATTCACACCGCCCCTTCCACCCAAGATTCTTAAAAGGATCCACTGTGCACGAATGAGAAAGTCCCACAATCCAAGTACATTGCCCTAGTGATCTTTGATGTTTTAAAACGCACCTGTAAAAATGCCAAAACCCAAAATTAGATCCCCAAGGGCTCCTTTTCTTTCTTGATCACACTTCTCTTTTTCAATGCCTCCCTCACCCCTAGAGGCCAGACGATTTCCCATCCAATAGCCCTCCTCCTTCTAATCAAACCGAAATCCTGCCCTCCATCACCACCAGCCCCACCCGGGTAAGAGGCTCCAGTCCCTGCCCCGATCGCCCTCCCTCGTCCTGGGAAGGGAACACCGGCGCAGGTCTTGCTCCTCTGACTTTTCACTCCCGCTGCCAAACCCAGAGCATCTCTTCCTCCGGGTCCACATTCCCGCAGGACCCCTTCGATCTTCTTCCCCCACTGCGCAGCTTTCAAAAGCCCCCAAGCTCTGGGCTCTTCAAGCCTTCCCCCCCGCCCCCTCCCTCTCGTTCCTCGGCCTCCACTTACCCCTCAGCCTCAGGCCCTGGGTTCGACAACCTCCATTTCCTTCAGTTTCCATTCCAGAGCTGACTCTCCCGGCTCCCTCAACCGTCTCCCCGGGGCCCCTCCGGGTCGCAGTCCCTCGGCAGCCCCCGGCTCCATCCCAGATTCCCTACTCACCCTTGGCAACAGGCGCCCCCCAAGCTCCCCTCTCCTCAGCCTCAGCTCCCGCTCACCTCCGCGGTCCGAGTCGGGCTCCCCGGACCCACCTCCGAGTCGGCGTCCGAGCCGCCGTCGGAGTCCGGGGCCCTGCCCGCCTCGCCGGAGTGCAGCACCTCAAGCGGCGGGGGCGGAGCCCGGGGCGGGGAGCCGGAGTGCAGGCGGGGGCGGTGGCGGCTGCGCGCAGGCATCGTCCCGGCCGCCGTCACCGCCGCGCCGGTAGCTGCTAGCAGCCGAACCGGAACTGCTTCGGGAGGCGGGGTCCTACCGGCCAGGAACGGGGTTCTACCGGCAGGGGGCGGGGCCCACACTGGAAAAGACGCGAGGCTCTAAATGGGCCCGACAGGAGAACCGAGAAGCTGCCGCGGGGGAGCCCGAGGGCGCATGCGTCATGCCGGGGGCCAAAGCAAGAGTAGGAAGCGGGACTAGCGGAGCAGGGGCGGGGCCTGTGGGATCAGTAAAAGGGGTTAGGGCCTAGAAGGAGGTTATCCTAATTCCTCTGGAGAGAGCCAGCTGTTCTCCAATAGCCAACCACCAATGATAATTGTTATAATTTATTGCCCACTTACTCTTTGACAGCGTCTATGCCAAATGCCATATAAACATCTCATTTAATCCTTGTGCTAAGGCCAGGCGTGGAGGCTCACGCCTGTAATCCCAGCACTTTGGGAGGCTGAGGCGAGTGGATCACCTGAAGTCAGAAGTTCGAGACCAGCCTGGCCAGCATGGTGAAACCTCATCTCTACTAAAAATACAAAAATTAGCCGGGCGTGGTGGCGCACACCTGTAGTCCCAGCTACTCGGGAGGCTGAGGCAGGAGAATCGCTTGAACCTAGGAGGTGGAGGTTGCAATGAGCCGAGATCACGCGGTTGCACTCCAGCCTGGGCGACAAGTGCGAAACTCCATTTCAAAAAAAAAAAAAAAAAAAAAGATCCTTGTGCTAACTCTGCAAGGGGGATCGTATAGCACAGAAGGGTAAAGAAACACGTTGCCTGACGTATTGCAAACTGATATTCCAACCCAAATCTCTCTAACATCCGATCCTATATTTTCCTCACTCCACCATGCTGCGCCACCCTGAGGGAAAGTCTCCCAAGCCAGCTCTAGCATTGGCATAAACCAAGTCCAGACCCAACTGTAACCTGGACACGAACCCCTCCTTGGCCTTGCCTCCCCACGCAGTGCCGGGCTGACTTCAGTGGTTCTGAATGGGATGGACATGAATGTAGACTGCTTCCATGGAATGCCCTGGTGTGGCCTTTCCCTTCAAACTGGTCTTAAGGCCAAGAACAGCTGGGAACCTCCCCACTGCAGCCCATACCCTTCCCAGCTCCATCAGGGCTGCTGAGAAGTCACATGACAGAGGGCGAGACATCTCATCTCTTTTGCTGATAGCCAGCTCTGGCAGAAGGACAGGTTGACCTTTCTCAGTTTCTATTTTGGGACCCAAAGCCCTTATAGACAGAGGAATCTCCCTCCCACCCTCAAAATGTTTCTGATGACAGTTGGTCCCTTTGGCTCTCAAAGTCTAGGGCAACACTCACCTCCCTTCTCCGCGTTTGACATACAAGGCCCTCTTCAGCCTTCTCTTTGAGAAGTCAGCTATGTTCATTACAGGACCATTGTTCAAACCTTCCCCCACTGGCCCGGCATGGTGGCTCACACCTGTAATCCCAGTACTTTGGGAGGCCGAGGCAGGCTGATCACTTGAGGTAGGAGTTCAAGACCAGTCAGACCAACACGGCTGACAAACCTCGTCTCTACTAAAAACACAAAAATTAGTGTGGCATGGTGGTGCACGCCTATAATCCCAGCTACTCAGGAGGCTAAAGCAGGAGAATCACTTGAACCCGGGAGGTGGTGGTGGCAGTGAACCAAGATGTCACTGTACTTCAGCCTGGGTGACAGAGTGAGACCCTGTCTAAAAAAACAAACAAAAAACAAACACTTCCCCCTTCCCCCATGAATCTTGTGGGCACGCTTTAAAAATGAAGCTCTCCATGTCTCTTATCCGTATTTCTCTGACTCTACAACTCAGAAAACTGTCCCTGACCTCCATAATTCAGAGACTCATCCAACAGACATCCAATCCAGCTCCTACCCAATTTGTGGCCCACCTAGACTGTACACTCTTTCAGTTCTATCATTCATCCTTGGAACCAGCCACCTCCTCTGCACCCTGGATCTCTACTTTAACTCAGTCCTCATAACCTAATAGCCTTAGGCAGGGCTCTACATCTACTAATTCCACAGACGTTTCTAAGCACCTACTATGTGTCAGACCCAGCACGTCTTTTGTTTCATTCAATCCTCAAATTCTCTGAGGTAGGTGTGATTATCCTTACTTTACAGATGAAGAAACTGAGGTTCAGGGAGGTAGCTGACTTGCAGAGGTCTCTCTGATTCCATGTTCTCACGGAGTTTGGGGGTGGGGGAAGGCTTAGGGAGGAAAAGGTCTTGTCTGCTCCAGAGGCCCCTTTGACTTGCTGAGTCACTTGCTCCTGTCCCACCTGTCCCTGTCAATCTCTGGGAAGGAGAAATGACACTGGAGAGGCAGAGAGGAGTGACCGCAGAGGCAGAGGGGTGGGCGGGCTGGCCCATGGCTGAGACCTCGCTCCCAGAGCTGGTGGGAGAGGACAAAGCCACGCCTTGCCCCAGCATCCTGGAGCTGGAGGAGCTCCTGAGGGCGGGGAAGTCTTCTTGCAGCCGCGTGGATGAAGTTTGGCCCAACCTTTTCATAGGAGATGCGTGAGTGATAGCTGGCCAAGGGTCATGGGGGTGGGGACAAGGAGAGGCAGTTCTTGGTGGCTTTACCAGACACAGGAGGGTAGAAACAAGGAGAAATAGCTCTGCTCCGACCATCCCAGGCCAGGGACCTTCTCCAGGACCCCAGGGTGCCAAGGACAGTGCAGTGACCAGGTATGGCCACGAGGGGGAGCAGGGACTTCGCCTGACTGAAAGCAGGGAGTCTCCCAGGAGTCCTGGGAAACACTTCCATGACAACTGGCAAGTGTAGAGGTATAGGCCTGAGAAATAGTATTTGCAGCATGAGATGAGGTAGACAGAGAGCCCCCTATTTCTGGACCCAGCCTCCCTCCTCTGGATACAGATGGTGGAGAAGCCTGACTGAAGGTGAATCAGAAAAGGTGTTGCCTCTCAACATTTGTAGGCTAGAAGCAGGTATTAGGTGGTAGCCGGTAGAGGACGGATGTGTGTGGGAGGACATGAGGCAAGAAGGGAGGGGCAGCCAGGTTCCAGGGCTGAAGCAATCCCTTCCTTCCTGTCCTGGCCAAGGCAGGAGCAGAGGCCTTGAGGAAGCAGAGAGGGTCTAAAGATCCCCCAATGCACGCATACCACCAGTTCTGCCACCATAAAGTGTGGGGCTCTGGGTATGGGGCTGTGGAGTCAGACCCCACTTGGAGCTTGCTGGGGTTGGATTCTCTTTGGACCCTGATGGCTCGGTCCCTCTGCAGCAGGGGGCCAGGCAAAGCCTTCCTCCTGGTCCCATGGCTTGGCTGTCATCCAGTGCCCTTCCTGCCCTCTCCAGGGCCACAGCAAACAACCGATTTGAGCTGTGGAAGCTGGGCATCACCCACGTGCTGAACGCCGCCCACGGGGGCCTCTACTGTCAGGGCGGCCCTGACTTCTACGGCAGCAGTGTGAGCTACCTGGGGGTGCCAGCCCACGACCTCCCTGATTTTGACATCAGTGCCTACTTCTCCTCCGCGGCTGACTTCATCCACCGTGCCCTCAACACGCCTGGGGGTAGGACTTGGGGTCCAAGCCCGTATCCCATCTTGCTCATTCCTGGGGAGGATGCCTCATTTCTTCTCAGTCATCAGTGCCCTCCCATCCCTGGTTTTTAAAAATCCTCTGCTTAGGCCAGGCACAGTGGCTCATGCTTGTAATCCTAGCACTTTGGGAGGCCAAGGTGGGTGGATCATCTGAGGTCAGGAGTTCAAGACCAGCCTGGCCAACACGGTGAAACCTCATCTCTACTAAAAATACAAATATTAGCCGGGCATGGTGGCACACACCTATAATCTCAGCTACTCGGGAGGCTGAGGCAGGAGAATTGCTTGAACACGGGGCAGGGGGAGGTTGCAGTGAGCCGATATCATGCCACTTCACTCTAGCCTGGGCAAAAGGGTAAAATCCATCTGCCCCCCACCCCCCAAAAAAAAGTTCTCTGCTTAGTGCTCCAGCATTTTATCAAACCCTATTCCTTCCCAGATGGGGAAACTGAGGCCTGGAATACAAGGTCATGCCATGAGTTAGGAACAACCCTAAGGCTGAAAGCCATTTCTCCCAAACAGCAGAATAGCTCTTTCTCTGCAGCACTCAGCTTTGGGAAAGCACCATTTGGTACCTAGATGTCTGCCCCAAAGTACTTCTTTTATTCCTTTTTTTTCTGAGACAGAGTCTCAGTGCTACCCAGGCTGGAGTGCAGTGGCACGATCTTGGCCCCTCCATCTCCTGGGTTCAACGTCTGCCTCCCGGCTTCAAGCAATTCTCGTGCCTCAGCCTCCCAAGTAGCTGGGACTACAGGCATCTGCCATCACACCCAGCTAATTTTTGTATTTTAGCAGAGACAGGGTTTCACCATGTTAGCGAGGCTGGTCTCGAACTCCTGACCTCAAGTGATCTGTCTGCCTCGGCCTCCCAAAGTGCTGGGATTACAGGCATGAGCAACTGCACCCACCCCTCAAAGTACTTTTAACTAGAAAAGAAATGTATCTTCAAATAGTCAGGATACAGCATAGGAGTCCAGGGAGGCTGGTGTCCTGGCTTTGTGTTCATCCTAGAAGACAGCTGTGTCCCTCACTATGTGACCCTGGGCAAGCCAGTGTCCCTCTCTGGACTTCAGTTTCCTCATCTATGTGACAAGAATGACAAGATTACAGCTCACATGACTTTTTAGTATCCAAAGCACTTTGTCATTCTTTTGTTCTTTGTCCATTCATTCATCAGCTATTTACTGAGTATCCACTATGTGCCTGGCACTGAGCTAAATAAATACTGGGAATCCAGACTTTAAGAAGCAGGGTCCTTGCCCTCTTGGAACTGGTGGAAAGACAGCCAAATTGTGAATAGTATAGTGAAAGCTACGCATAAGAGTGGGCCAGTGTGGAGGGCTCTGGGAGCACACGGCGGGGGTGCTGAGCCTAGAGGATCAGTAAGATGGGGGGACTTCCCTCTACAAAAGTATTCATGGGTCATATGCAAAAAAGATGAGCTGCTCTGTGATTCAAGCAATACTTTGAGCGGTCAAGAAAGCCTGTGGAGGAAGCCATGTCTCAGCTGAAACCTGGTGGATGAGTAGTAGAAGTTAGTCAGACCGAGACCAGGGGAAACAATTTGCAGGTATTTGGAATAGCATGTGGTAAGGCTGGAGGTCAGAAAACATGGCAGCCTCAAGGAACTACAAGTTCCTCCATTTTTCCTCGAGCTGAAGGTGGGGGAGGGACAGTCTAAGATGAGGCGACAGGGGCCAGCTCTTGAAGGGTCTTACAAGCTATGTTAAAAAGGTTAGGAGGCCAGGAGAGGTGGCTCACGCCTGTAATCCCAGCATTTTGGGAGGCCAAGGTGGGAGAATCACTTAAGTTCAGGTGTTCAAGACCAGCCTGGGCAACATAGTGAGACCTTGTCTCTACAAAAAAAAAAAAAGGCCAGGCGCGGTGGCTCAAGCCTGTAATCTCAGCACTTTGGGAGGCCAAGACGGGCGGATCACGAGATCAGGAGATCGAGACCATCCTGGCTAACACGGTGAAACCCTGTGTCTACTAAAACATACAAAAAAATTAGCCAGGCCTGGTGGCGGGTGCCTGTAGTCCCAGCTACTCGGGAGGCTGAGGCAAGAGAATGGCATAAACCCAGGAGGCAGAGCTTGCAGTGAGTCGAGATCATGCCACTGCACTCCAGCCTGGGCGACAGAGTGAGACTTTGTCTCAAAAAAATAAAAAATAAATAATAAATAATAAATAAAAAATAAATTTTAAAAAAAGGAAAGAAAGAAAAGAAAAAAGAAATTCGGACCCTATCCCAAAGGCAGGCAGAACAGGTATCGATCTACCCATTTTACCAATCAGGAAACTGAGGTTCATAAAGGTTGAGTGACTTGCTCAGGATCACAAAGTACACCCAAGGCAGGGTCAGGAAAGGAACTTGGGTTCCCATCCCAGCCCGTGGGTGGGCCGGCTGGTGGGAAAGGGTTTTTCACCAGGATGTCTTCCTCAGCCAAGGTCCTGGTGCACTGTGTGGTGGGCGTGAGCCGCTCCGCCACGCTAGTCCTGGCCTACCTCATGCTGCACCAGCGGCTGTCCCTGCGCCAGGCGGTGATCACTGTGAGGCAGCACCGATGGGTCTTCCCCAACCGAGGCTTCCTGCACCAGCTCTGCAGGCTGGACCAGCAACTGCGGGGTGCCGGCCAGAGCTGAGGGGCCAGGTGAGGCCTCGTGGGGCGAAGCTGGATGTGCTTGGCAGGAAGAGGCCAGGTGAGGGCCTGGCCTGCGGACATAGGATTGGGTTCTTGCAGGATTGGTTGGCAGGGCTGCATGTGGCTGGAAGTGAGGATTAAACGGGGCCTGGCCCTCTCCCCAAACTGCTGGGTTCCCTTCACCTACCCAAGGTCTCACCCAAGGGCCCGGCCTAGGCAGTTCTCCTGTAGGACCCCCAACCCATCTCCCCCACCCTACCTGGATCCTTCAGACCCCAAAGAGAAGAGGATGACTAGGATGTGAGGGCGTGGAAAGCGTAAAATGGAAGAGGGGAGACTTTCCTACCTGGTCTTGAGGCCAACCTGCCCTGCCTCAGCTGAAATCCTGTGGGGGCTCCCCTAAATCTCACCGAGGTATCTGCACAGCCAGCCTGGACCCTCCTGAACCTCCACATCCCCTTCCCCCTAGGTCTGGACCCCAGGTACAATGCCGCAGAGAAAACCTTCCAGACTTAGCTAATTCTTATCCGTGAGCTAAGGCCAGGCCTCCACGGCGGCTCCCCACCCAGCAGGGCCTGCCTCCACCTCTGCTTCCCCTACAACTCCTTCCCTGTCTCGCCTCAACCCTGTCTTTGGCTGTCCCCACCACCCCACGCCACAGACAGGCTGCCATTTGGGGGTGGGTGACTGGCCTGGGCATGCTTGAGAGCTGGAACAGCAGCAGTTTTTTCCTCCCAGAAGCCTCCCAGGGCAGGGCCTGACTCTCTCCCTGTCTCCCACCCCTAAAAGTGGTTCCTATCTCTGCAGGCATAGCCAGCCCAACAAGAAGGGAGGCCCTTCAGCAGCATTGACCCCTTCCCACGGGCTGGCTGGAGGATGAGCATCCTGGGGAGGAGAATTAGGGAAGGATCAAGGGCTAAGTTTAGAGTTTGGGGGTGAGCGTGATAAGAAACTTTGGGTTATAGCTGGGCTTGAGATTGGCCTGCTGCCAAGCTGTGGCATGGAGCTCTATGGGTAGAAGGTCTGAAGGGGGCGTGTTTCCCGTGGAATGGCAAATTCCCAGCTTGCTCTCTCTCCTCTAGACAGGACCCAGGAACCTGGCAGAGCAGCAGATCTCAGACCATGCCCAGTTACCCCTCTCCCTCAGCCTGGGGACTTAGGCTCCCTGACCTCTGACCTCAGCATCTTTCCCATCAGGCAACTGACTTTGGGGGAGTTGGATAGGTAGGGGTATAGCATTGCACAATTCATGGAGGTGTCATCCACCAAACTGTGCAACTGGAGGCCCCAGGAGTTATGCAGTGTGCAGCCTGTGCAGCCGTACACAGCAGCTCTGGGTCTGGGGACTCTGAAAGATAAGGGGCCGATGGGGAGAGGTCATCTCTGTCCCTAAGCCATGGATATCAAATCTACCTCCTCATCTCTCCCAGCAGCTGCACTCATTGACCTTATGCACAGGGCTTAAGGCAGAAGCAGGTTTAGGTGACAGCTCTTACTCCTGCCTCAACAAGTCCCAGCCAGCCTGGGCCTTGGTTCACCTGCCTGTAACACAGAGCTCATCTCTCTTCCAGAGCTGGTCCTTACTCCCTGCCATGGGGCTTGGCCAATTTGCCACCCTGGCACTGGTCCTTCTGGTGCTGCTGGAGACTCTGGCCCAGGCGGACACACAGAAGATGGTGGGAGCCCAGCGTGGAGTCCGCCCTAGAGCCTGCTACTCCATCCGGCTCCTCCTGGCGCCTGCACCCCCTCTCCGCCACTGTCTTTGGCCTCCACAGGTGGGAGTGGGCTCCCCTCTCAGCCAAGCCCTCAGGCGTCTTGGCCAGGGATCCCAGGTTCCCTGGGAAAGTGGGGAGGGCAGGAGAGAGGAAGGGGGTTTCAGGTATTTGTGATAGCTGTTGGCCACAGCTGCCTCCAGCAGCTCGCCTCAGGGTTCAGGGAGCCCCAGGAGGGGCTGAGCCTTAGCTCCCCGGAGCTCAGATCTCAGAGCCCCAGCGCAGGTGTGGCTGCAGGCATGGGTGTGCCCTGTCCCCATCATCTGGGAGTGCAAGTGGGAGAGTAGTATCAAGGTATGGGTGTATGACAAAGGTCTGTGGATGACAGAGAAGGTTCCTAATGGGCCCAATTGAAGGTCCTAGCTGACCACAGTTAGCAGAGGAGAGACCTTAAAGACCATCTCTCTGGTCTCAGGGGACAGCGGGGCCTGGGTATCCCTGCCTTTTGGGTTGGGGGAGGAGCTTGGCAGAGGGTGGGAGTGGCCCTGGACACACTGCTTCTGCCTGCAGCCCAGGGCTGTCTGAAGACCTGCTCTACACCTGTGTCTGTGTGTGGGCCTGTGCCACTTCCCTCAGCCTGAGTCTTCTAGGTCTTTATCCTGGACCCGTCCCATCAGCCTTGGCCCCTAACCGAGGGCCCCTGGACCTCGGTTCTGCTGTTGGCAATGCCACCAGTTTACATGTGATTTTTGGCTAGTCTCTTCACTGTCCTCCTCCACAGAACATCTTTCCAGCTTGAACTTTCTACCCTTCTTCCATAATACCCTTGAAGGCCAAGGGAGAGGGTCTCACTTCAGTTGCGTAGCCTGGAGTGCAGTGGCATGGTCAGGGATTAGGGCTCACTGCAGCCTTGACTTCCTGGGCTCAGGTGATTCTCTCACCTGAGTTTCCCGAATAGATGGGACTACAAGCATGTGCCACCACAAGCAGCTAATTTTTTTTTTTTTGAGACGGAGTCTCGCTCTTGTTGCCCAGGCTAAAGTGCAATGGCGTGATCTCACCTCACCGCAACCCCCGCCTCCTGGGTTCAAGTGATTCTCCTGCCTCAGGCTCCTGAGTAGCTGGGATTACAGGCATGCGCCACCATGCCAGCTAATTTTGTTTTTAGTAGAGACAGGTTTTCTCCATGTTGGTCAGACTGTTCTCGAACTCCCAACCTCAGGTGATCCGCCCACCTTGGCCTCCCAAAGTGCTGGGATTACAGGCATGAGCCACCGCGACTGGCCCAACTGGCTAATTTTTTGTATTTTTAGTAGAGACAGGGTCTGGCCATATTGCCTAGACTGGTCTCGAACTCCTGGACTCAAGCAATCCTCCCACCTCAGCCTCCCAAAGTGTCGGGATTATAGACGTTAGCCACTTTCGCCGGCCAAGAGACCTTTTAAAATGCTTTATTTGATCTTCCTTCTCCTACTGTCAACATACATGTACACAATATGCCACAGTCAGACCTGGGCTGAGCTGCCTTGATTCTTAGCAGTGCTGGGACAGAGGCCTGGGCCTGGAGGGAAAGGTGCCTGGCTAGGCTTGGCACTGGTCATGCCATGGAACCAGTGGACAAGTTGGGAGTGGCAGGGGAGGCTGGAAGAGGGGAGTAGACAGCATGCTTTATAATTAAACTCAAATCAAAAAATAGAAACAGCATCAAGTGTGCGGAGACAGGCGGCTGAAAGCCGGCAGCACAAACTGCCCGTCAGAGAAGTGCACAGCCCGGGCCAGATACTCCCACAGGTGGGTGAGTGCCCCTAATTTGGGGGGGTAGGGTGTGGTCTCTGAGCATGCTGGGTAATGAGGGCCAGGACACTTGTGCCTGTGTGGGGAAGGGTGGGGGTTGGGTTGGGTAGAGAACCGACTGGGTCAGAGATGAAGGTGCAGACAAAGTATAGTAAAGTGAGAAAGACCTGGGCTTGAATCCTGACTCCCACATCAATTGGCTGTGTGACTCTGGGTGTGTTGCTTAACCTCTCTGAGTCTCGGTTTCTTCATCTGTAAAATGGGGATGATAATATTGTCTGTTCCATAAAGGCACTGTGAGGATTCAGTGAGAAAATGTAAGCGCCTAGCTCTGTCTGACACATCCTTGATGAGTGCTAAATAGAACAATTATTGCTGGACAGAGAAAGAAACATTAAGAAATACAGAGACAGAGAAGAAACCTCACTGTCCCGTAGGGAAGTTACCCTCCACCCAGGATATGGCTGGGACTAGAAAGGGTAAGAGTAATTATAGTAGTGATAATAATAGTAAGATGCACCATTTATTGGGCATCTACCATGAGACAGACCCTGTGGGAGGTGCTTTACATTAATTATTACATGGAATTCTCACAGCATCCTCACTGAAGAAACTGGCTCAGTAAAGACCACATAGATGCAACTACCAGACCTGAGAATTCTGCCCAGGTCTGCCCTCCCCAAGGTCCGCAGGCTGAGCGCAGAGACCCACAGCTCTTCCCCACTGGCACCACACACCACCCTTCTGCAGGCCTTCTTCCCCACACTCCTCACTGGTCCTGCCCTGAGATCTCCAGCCCCACGTGGCCTGTGGCCACACTCCTGTCTGGCCTCCCTGGAGTGGAGTCAGAAAGGATGGGTAGGAAGAAAGTCCAGGGAACCATCTGAAGCTGCCGCTGAGAGGTGGATGGCAAAGAGCTGCCCCCTGCCCCAAGGAAGCCTGTGCCTCTGCCTGATGTCGTGGGCACGCAGAGCAGTGTCATGGGAGGCTGCAAAGGCACATGAGCTTCCTGGGGGAGGATGGGAGACAGAGGCAAATGGGGGAGCTACCTAGGGAGGAGAGATGCAAAGACAGAAAACAAGTGCATGGACTTGCAACCAGCAGCAGCACAGGAGCAGGCCAGGAAAAGCCCTGCCTACAGAGGCAGCTGCTCTGCTGAGCGGGGGAGGCAGGAAGGGGGAGAAGAGGAGCATGAGACCAGGGAGAGAAGGAGGGCTGCAGGGAGTGGGAGGGGAGCCCGGCCAGGCCCTGGCCCTGCTGGACATTGGGCCTGTGCCTCACCTGGCTGGGGCCGAGGAGACATGGAAGGTAATGTCAGGCGGGGCCCTCCGAAGACCGTCTGGGGTCTCAGAAACCGGCGGAGCTGCCACAACCACCGACTTCCCCTCCCTGGGAGGGCCTGGGGCTTAAAGGACAAGTCCCTGGGCGGGTGGCTGGGCCTGACTCTGACTGAGGGGCTGGGTTAGAGTGGCCAGGCGGGGCAACACCCTGAGCATCGGGAGCGAGGCATTAGGTGGAGCCTGACCAGGAGTAGCGCTAAGTCCAGGGGAGAGCCCCGTTCTTCAGACCTGGGCCTAGGTCCCCTCGGAGGCAGAGGCACGCACTGTGGCCTACGAGCCCCCAAATCCTTCACCCCTCTGGAGCCTCCTGGGGGTGGGGCCTGGCTGCCTGCTCCCTGGCACGGCTGGGCTGCGAGACACCCATTGGCCACAGGGGGGCAGCCTCACCCCATGCCAAGCTCCGCAGGCCTGAGTCTGGTGCCCGTCCCACTTCCCAAAGCCCCATCTCCCTACCTGACGGCTCCAGACCAGTGTGGCTGTTGGACTCCCCTGGGGCCTGAGGGCTTCCCCCACTCCACCACACTACACTGCCCTCTGCCCTGCAGTGACCGCACATCCAGACCCTCCTCTGTCATTCTCGGGTCAGACGCCCAGAGCATCCTGAAAGTTAAGTTCAGGATCCCTAGCAGGGGAAGATAAACTGTGGTCCAGATCAGGGCAAAGACTTGCTCATGACCACAGAAAGTCATGGCAGAGTCCCGGGGAAGCCAGGCTCTCCTCCCTGCCTCAGAAGTTCTCTTCCCACCTCTTCAGGTAGCCTCCCATCTTCATGGGGAGTTATGGAACCAAGGGTCTTCAATCCCAAAGAGATACCAAGCAGAGAGGAGACCTTGGCGTTTAGAGGGACTGGAGAGCCCACCGCAGTCCACAAGGCCTCAGTCAGCTCTCAGACCCCACCCCCATGAGCGCCCCAGCCAGCACCTGGAATTCTAGCCGCTTCACAGTGTTTGTGTTCTGGGCGGAACCTGCCCAGCCTTGTTCCACTCAGGCAGAGTCCTGCCCCTGCACCCACTCCCCCATTCCTGGCCCCAGAACATGCCCCAGGTAGGTGGCAGGCCACTCAGCCGCCTGGAGAGGTCACAGTGGGGGATGAGGAGGACACCTGGGTCTTCACTTCCACCTTGCCCGACAGCCTCCCACTGGGTGAGCCTGGCCAAGCCGGCAGCCTCCTGGGTGCCCGTTTCTCTTTCTGGTCCTGGCACTGCCTACCAAAGGGAAAAGATGTTCTTCCCAGTATGCACCTTCCCTAGTCACTGGTCCAGGGGATCAGGGGCAGTTAGCAAAGACAGGTCCCCCTCTCCAACACGGCACCAGGCCCATATTCTGGTGCCGCTGAAAATCCAGCTCCGCAGAGTCCCTGACTCCTTCAGCCAGCAGATGCCTGAAACAAGCCACCTGACCCGGGTGGGGCCTGACATCCAGCGCTGGCCTGAGTTGTGGGGGTAAGGAGGAAAACCCGGGGCCTATAGCAGGTGTGTGGTTCAGCAGCACCAGGCCCCCTTGAGAAAAAAGGGGGGTTAGTGACCACTCTCTGGAGGCCCCAAAGATGGTAACTGAAAGACTTGGGGATGGACTAAAACCCCAGCCTTGCTACTTATGAGCCGTATGGCTTTGGGCGTCACTTTTAAAACATTCTGAGCTTTAGCTTCCTCTTGGGTAAAATAGGAACAGACATCCCACGAGTGAGACATCAGGCTTTTTGTTGTTGTGACGGAGTCTCGCTCTGTCGCCCAGGCTGGAGTGCAGTGGTGTGATCTCGGCTCACTGCAACCTCTGCCTCACAGGTTCAAGAGGTTCTCCTGCCTTAGCCTCCCGAGTAGCTGGGACTACAGGAGTGGACCACCACACCTGGCTAATTTTTGTATTTGTGGTAGAGACAGGGTTTTGCCACATTGGCCAGGCTGGTCTTGAACTCCTGACCTCAGGGGTTCTGCCTGCCTCGGCTTCCCAAAGTGCAGGGATTACAGGCATGAGCCACCGTGCCCAGCCAGAGGCATCAGGCTTATAAGAGGCATTAGCTCATTCCATGTGGAGATGCTAACAAATACCAGTTCACAGCCCTGGCCTCTTACCTGGAGATGGGCTCTGATCTCCGAGTCCCTGAAAGTGGGAGGGGACAGGGGTCTGAGGGTGAGTACTGGAAGCAGCAGGTGAGGGGGCTTGAGAGGCCACAGTGGGGGATGAGGAGGACACCTGGGTCTTCACTTCCGCCTTGCCCGACAGCTGCCTAGGTTGGTGGGGCGGGGGGTGCCCTGAGAGCCACAGCCATCTGTGCCCTGAAAGCCACAGCTTTCATTCCTACAAAGTCCAAGCTGACTTAGGGGTGAGATCTGCACTGACTAGTGCCACAAATAGGGAACTCCAAGGGCCCCTTGGCCAAAGCTTCATACAGCTGCAGCTCAGCAGAGGGCAGGAGAGAGGTCTGCCCAGCTCCACAGCAGTGACAAAAGATTGATTCCCTTGTTCCCTAGGGAAGGGTTCTAGGCCCCAGCCCCAGCTGAGCTTGTTAATACCTCATGTGAAATAGCTGAGGCCCTTCCCGCAGCATCCCCGTGGCACCTGGGTACTGCACCATGGGCTTCCCCATCAGCTGGATCCACCCTCCAGGAGCCTGCCTCCAGCCATTGCAGTGTCCACTCTGTTCCAGGATGGACTCCCTGCAGAAGCAGGACCTCCGGAGGCCCAAGATCCATGGGGCAGTCCGGGCATCCCCCTACCAGCCGCCCACGTTGGCTTCGCTACAGCGTTTGCTGTGGGTCCGTCAGGCTGCCATGCTGAACCACATCGACGAGGTGTGGCCCAGCCTCTTCCTGGGAGATGCGTGAGTAAGACCCACATTAGGAGTGGGGGTGGCAGAAGGGTGTGAGGTTCACACGGGAATGAGGGCATGAGCCTCTCCCAGAGCCCTCCAGGGCACAGGTGGCACCCTTGCCTCCCACCGTCTCTTTCCCTATTTTTCTTTCCTTTTATATTATTACTGCTTTTAACTGTGGAACTAGAATGCACATAAGAAAAGGGCACAGGGCCGGGTGCGGTGGCTCATGCCTGTAATCCCAGCACTTTGGGAGGCCGAGACAGGTGGATCACTTGAGGTCAGGAGTTCGAGACCAGCCTGGCCAACATTGTGAAACCTCATCTCTACTAAAAATACAAAAAATTAGCCAGGCATGGTGGTGGAGACCTGTAATCGCAGCTACTCAGGAGGATGAGGCAGGAGAATCACTTGAATCGGAGAGGCGGAGGTTGCAGTGAGCTGAGATCGCACCATTGCATTCCAGCCTGGGCAATAAGAGCGAGACTCTGTGTCAAAAAAGAAAAAAAAAAGGAAAAAAGAAATGTGCACAGAGCGTGTATGAACAGCTTCATCACCCAGTGAAGAAAAAGGATATTACTTGTCTCCCAGAAGCCCCTACTGAATCTTTCTCATTATAACTTTTCTATTCTCTGTGGTTAATCACTGTCTGTTGAATTAATTATTTCCCTGTTTTTCTTTAAAGTTTTACCACCTATATACCTAAACAGTGTAGTCAGTTTCACCTACTGTTTAAAATTATATGAGTGGAATCATATTGTGTGTGTTTTGTGCCTGGCATCTTTTGCTCAAATTTGTGAGTCACCCACGTTGTTATGTGTATCTGCAGTTCATTCATATTTTCACTGCTGGAGATTTCATTATATGATTATGCCACAGTTTATCCATTTTACTGAATATGGACATTTGGATTGTTTCCACTTTTTGACGATTACAAACAATGATCCTAGTAATATTTCATCTTAAAATTTTTATTTATTTATTTAGAGACAAGGTCTCTCTCTGTTGCCTAGGCTGGAGTGCAGGGATTATCATCATTCACTGCAACCTCAAATTCCTAGGCTCAGCAGTTCTCCTGCCTCAGCCTCTCAAGTAGCTGGGAATACAGGTGTGCCCCACCACACCTAGCGAATTTTTCTTTTTTTTGAGGCGGAGTCTCACTCTGCCACCCAGGCTGGAGTATAGTAGTGCAATCTCCACTCACTGCAGCCTCAACCTCCCAAGCTCAGGTGATTCTCCCACCTCAGCCTCCCAAGTAGCTGGCACTACTGGCATATGCCACCATGCCTGGCTATATTTTTGTATTGTTTGTAGAGATAAGGTTTTACCATGTTGCCCAGGCTGGTCTCGAACTCCTGAACTCGATGAATCCTCCTGCCTTGGTCTCCCAAAGTGTTGGGATTATAGGCATGAGCCACAGTGCCTGCCTGAAAAGGAGTCTTTTTTTTTTTTTTGAGATGGAGTCTAGCTCTGTTGCTCAGGCTGGAGTGCAGTGGCGCAATCTTGGCTCACTGCAATATCTGCCTCCTGGGTTTAAGCGATTCTCCTGACTCAGCCTTCTGAGCAGCTGGGACTACAGGCGCCCACCACCATGCCTGGCTAATTTTTGTGTTTTTAGTAGAGTTGGGGTGTCACCATGTTGGCCAGGCTGGTCTCAAACTCCTGACCTCAAGTGATCCGCCCACCTCAGTCTCCCAAAGTGCTGGATTTATAGGCATGAGCCACCACACCCAGCCCGAAAAGGAGTCTTAAACTCCAACTGGAGGAGCCCCTTCACCCTGGGCCGATTTGCAGGCTCTTGTCTCTTTCCTTGGTGGGTGGTGGGCGGGGGTGTTTGCAGACTTCAACCCAGCCAGAGCTGCCGCAGTGAGATCTACCTCTACCCTCCTAACCCCTTGTGCCCTCCCCTCCAGGTACGCAGCCCGGGACAAGAGCAAGCTGACCCAGCTGGGAATCACCCACGTTGTGAATGCCGCTGCGGGCAAGTTCCAGGTGGACACAGGTGCCAAGTTCTACCGTGGAATGTCCCTGGAGTACTATGGCATCGAGGCAGATGACAACCCCTTCTTTGACCTCAGTGTCTACTTTCTGCCAGTTGCTCGATACATCCGAGCTGCCCTCAGTATTCCCCAAGGTGCACTTCTGGGTCTGGCATGGTGGAGGGTGGAGGGTGCGCTTTAGGACTCTCCATTTTTCCAGTAGCCCTGGTGGGTGGGAGTCCAGAGAGACAACCCCTTTCAGCAACCCTCCCACTCCATGGGGCAAATAGCTACTACCATTCAGTGAGTGTCCCCTTCAGGGACACCCTCGAGGCTAGCAGTCACGGACATAACTAAGATCCAGTGTAGTCATCAGCATCACCACATCCCTCCATAAGAGGCCAGGCACTGGACAGAAGGTATAGGATCCAGCGAAACTCTTGAGCGGGCTACTCTAAGATGAGTCCTTGGCATAGAGCTGCAGGGGCAGGCTAGATGGCAGAACTCAGGGGAGGTAGGTGGACACCCCCTATAATCTGATGGAAACCCAGGGACCCGAGGAATTCAATAAACCCCCTTCCCCTGGTCCAGAGTTGCAAAGAATGCCTGAGGAAGCACCTGGACCTGAAGAAGGAAATCCCAGCTGCTAACCTAAACCCTGCCTCTAACTTGCTATGTGACTTTGAGCCAGCCTCCTCTCTCTGGGCTTCAGTTGCCCCATTAGACAGAGTAGACAGTGTCAGTATTGCAGGATGCCGTAGAGGATGGCCATGGGTGTCTCTTCTTCCCAAAGGGGTGGGTGGTTCAAGGGCAGGTAGCTGATGTTAGCTTGGTTCTCCCCACAGGCCGCGTGCTGGTACACTGTGCCATGGGGATAAGCCGCTCTGCCACACTTGTCCTGGCCTTCCTCATGATCTACGAGAACATGACACTGGTAGAAGCCATCCAGACGGTGCAGGCCTACCGCAATATCTGCCCTAACTCAGGCTTCCTCCAGCAGCTCCAGGTTCTGGACAACCGACTGGGGCGGGAGACGGGGCGGCTCTGATCTGGCAGGCGGTCAGGATCCCTGACCCTTGGCCTGACGCCACCAGCCTGGCCCTGGGGACAGCAGGCTCTGCTGTTCCTAGTGACCCTGAGATGTAAACAGCGAGTGGGGGCTGAGGCAGAGGCAGGGATAGCTGGGTGGTGACCTCTTAGCAGGTGAATTTCCCTGACCCAATCCAGAGATTCTTTATGCAAAAGTGAGTTCAGTCCATCTCTATAATAAAATATTCATCATCATAAAGACAGGCGATCTTTTGGTAGTCTGTGGGGCCATGGCTTACTCTCGGGATGGTCACAAGGTTCCAGATGGCTCGCCAACTCTGATTCAGTGGGATGGCAGCCTTGGGGAGGAGGACAGGTGGGAATAATTTGTGATATCTGCCTTGGGTGCAGGAGGAAGGAGTGGGGGTACAAGTGTGAGGATTAGATGACCTCGTCCTCATCTTGTCCTCCTCATACCCTCACCCAGGAGTTAGGTTGTCTGATAAAGACCCAAGTTCAATGCATCACCATTCTCTCCATGCCCATCCTACCCAAGGCTGAATATCAAAATTCACTGTGCACAAGTAGCATCTCTTGAAACCAGTCTTTTCACTGACACTCTGCTTTCAAAAATGGACTGCTTAAAATTAGACACCTAACAAATTAAAGCATTAAACAAGAGGATGATGGGATTGGGAAGGAGACATACCAGAACTACTAGGCAAAGGACAGTTATATGATGGAACAAAACAGCTCTGCGTTTCTTAGTTCTTATCTTAGCACAACATAAAATAAAACAATAAAGAAAGGCCCCCTCCCAGCTTCCTCACATGTAAATACATCATAAAAACCCAAGGTATTTATAAGGATTAAATAGTCAGCTTTCCTCTACCTCTCTGGCTGCTCTTAGTGAGGTGTTGTCTCCTCTGTTTTTGTGTGTGTGTATTTGGGGTTTCTGGTTGTTTTGAGACAGGATCTCACTCTGTGGCCCAAGCTGGAGTGCAGTGGCACAGTCAGCTCACTACGGTCTTGAATCCTGCCCCCCAGCTCAAGCAATCCTTTCATCTCAGCCTCCCAAGTAGCTGGGACCACAGGCGTGAGCCACCACACCCAGTTAATTTTTAAATTTTTTTGTAGAGATGAGGTCTCACTATGTTGTGCAGGCTGCTCTTGAACTCCTGGACTCAAGTGATTTTCCTGCCTCAGTCTTCCAAAGTGCTGGGATTACAGGTGTGAGCCACTGCACCTGGCCCCTTGCCTTCTTTGGCTGGCCCTTCAATATCAAGTTTTCTCAGGGTTCTATCCTCTGCCTCCTCTCTCCTGCAGTGTTTCTGCTCTCCCAGTTCTCTGCAACACTTGGTGCCAATCCCACGTTGCTGTTGGCTGCCTCAGGTGCTCTCTAGGTCTTTTCCAGAGGGCAGACATATGTCTTAGGTGGAGGATGTCGGGAGGACTGGTGCCGCTGTGTCCAGCTTAGTCACAGGGCCCAGCCCCCACCAGGCAGGTGCAAACACTCCTGGGCTCCCCACCCTAGGAATGGAAGACTGTTCTCAATTCATCCTGGGGTTGATGGAGTCTATGATTCTCTAGGGCAGACACAGCCCGTCCCAGTTCAGTAGCCCCACCTCCCCACTCCCAACTCCCTTGGGTCCCTCCTCCACCTGACAACTCAGTGCTTGTTGCTGTTTCTTACTCATGCACCATCAGTGGGACCCAAGATAGTGGCTCCAGAAGCCAGTCATCCTCATCTGAGTACGGGCAGCCTGCCCCTGCTGGCTGGGGTGGATGCACTGCGGCTGCGACAGAGCCAGACTCTGGGCCTGGGGCTTGGGTTCCAGCAAGTCACCTTCTTGGGGCTCTGTGGATTGGGTGCAGAATCTGGGGCTGCAGGGGGAGATTGAAAGAAGCCATGAGGAGGCAGGTGGAGGGAAAGCCAAATATTCCCCAAGTACTGAGGGAATCGAGGCTGAGCTCTAGGCTGGCACCTCCTCTGGGATGACTTCCTGCCTGCCACTCTCACCCAGGGAAGGCTGTAATATCTCCCTCTTGTATAGAGCAGCCTTATGAAAGAAGTGGTGTATTGTGAGGAGCATGACTTTGGAGCCAGACTCTTTGGGTTCAAATCCTACTTCTGCCCTTTGTCAGATGTGTCATCTCAGTTAATCTCTCCATACCTCAGTTTCCCTATCCATAACACGGGATTAATGACAGCCACCACATAGGATTGCTGTAAGGATTAAGTGGGGCATATAGAAAGTGCTTTGCACAATATGTGGTGAGTTCCCAGAAATGGTAGCTGTGGCCGGGTACAGTGCTTCACGCCTGTAATCCCAGCACTTTGGGAGGCCAAGGCAGGAGGATCGCCTGAGCCCAAGAGTTCGAGACCAGCTTGGGCAACATGGCAAGACCTCATCTCATTTATAAAAATAATAAAATACGTAAATAAGTGATAGCTGTGATCAATCATCATCACAGCACATAGTACTGGCGCTCCAGTCTTGGACTGAAAGCTGGCAGCATTCTCAGTGCATTGAATGAATTGATGAATGAGTAAAAATTAGCTGACTTAAAGGCAAGATGGTGTTCTGGATTGGATCCTGGGGTTTTTTCTTGTTTGTTTGCTTTTTGTTTTGAGACAGAGTCTCGCTCTGTCACCCAGACTGGAGTGCAGTGGCATAATCTCAGCTCACTGCAACTTCCACCTCCCAGGTTCAAGTGATTCTCCTGCCTCAGCCCACTGAGTATCTGGGATTACAGACGCCTGCCATCACGCCTGGCTATTTTTTTTTTTTTTTTTTTTTTGAGACGGAGTCTCGCTCTGTCACCCAGGCTGGAGTGCAGTGGCCGGATCTCAGCTCACTGCAAGCTCTGCCTCCCGGGTTTACGCCATTCTTCTGCCTCAGCCTCCCGAGTAGCTGGGACTACAGGTGCCCGCCACCTCGTCCGGCTAGTTTTTTATATTTTTTAGTAGAGACGGGGTTTCACTGTGTTAGCCAGGATGGTCTCGATCTCCTGACCTCGTGATCCGCCCATCTCGGCCTCCCAAAGTGCTGGGATTACAGGCTTGAGCCACCGCGCCCAGCTATTTTTTGTATTTTTAATAGGAACAGGGTTTCACCATGTTGGCCAGGCTGGTCTTGAACTCCTGACCTCAGGTGATCCGCCCACCTTGGCCTCCCAAAGTGCTGGAATTACAGGTGTGAGCCACTGTGCCCGGCATATTTTTTATTTATTTATTTATTTATTATTATTATTTAGTAGAGACAGGGTTTCACCATGTTGGCCAGGCTGGTCTCTAACTCCTGACTTCAAATGAACTGCCTGCCTCAGCCTCCCAAAGTGCTGAGATTACAGGAGTGAGCCACCGCACCTGGCCTTGGATTGGATCCTGAAACAGAAAAAGGACGTAAGTGGAAAAACTGGTGAAATCTGAATAAAGTTTGTGGTTTAGTTAATAGTGTTATAGGAATGTTAATTTCTTTGATAAATGTAGCAAGGTTATGTAAGAAGCTAACATCAGAGAAAGCTGAGTGGACATACAAGAAATGTCTCTGCCATCTTTGTAAGTCTGCTGTAAATCTAAAATTATTTCAAAAATAAAAAAATTAGCTGACAATTACCAACTGTTTTGCATATACCAGCACTGTGCCAAGTTCTTTAGAAACATAATTTTTTTTTTCAAATTTCATCCATAATGTTTTGTCTTTTGAAAACACACGAATCAGAGCCCAGGAGGTATAGGCTACAGTGAGCCAAGCTGTGATTGCACCACTGCATCCAGCCTGGGTGACACAGTGGGACTCTGTCTCTATAAAAGAAAGGAAAAAAAAAATCACATATCAAATACAGCAAAATGTTAAGATTTGACCATATTTATGGAGTTATGGGAATATAGGTGTTTATTACATGTTTTTTTTATTTTAAAAAATACTTCATTACTTTAAAAATTAAAAATAAATAAATCTACTAACTTCTAAATTAGAAACATCCTACTCTGTATTTAGGTTTGGAAACCATCAAGTCAAATGAAGTTTAGGAAGTATTCTGGGCTGGGCGCAGTGGCTCACGCCTGTAATCCCAGCACTTTGGGAGGCCGAGGCAGATGGATCACTTGAGGTCAAGAGCTGGAGACCAGCCTGGCCAACATGGTGAAACCCTCTCTCTACTAAAAATACAAAAATTAGCGGGGCGTGGTGGCGCATATCTGTAGTTCCAGCTACTTGGGAGGCTGAGACACAAGAATCGCTTGAACCTGGGAGGCAGAGGCTGCAGTGAGCCAAGATTGCACCACTGTATTTCAGCCTGGGTGACAGAGCGAGACTTGGTCTCCAAAAAATAAATAAATAAAAGTAAAACTTTAAAGAGGCTATATTACAAATAATCTTGCTTAAGAAAAAAGGTAATGATGACTCAGTTGGTAGTATTTAGATCAAATGACCGTGTTGAAGAGAAGCTAAGCTAGTGAGTCATACTCGCCATCATTTCTTTCACTCTTCACAATCCTGTAGGGTGGGTCGTGTGAATACCATTTTATGGGTGAGAACACAGGCACAGGGAGATTAGGCCTGAACAGCAGCTAGTAGTGATTGAGAACTTTATTATCTACCCGTGCCTTAGTCAGTCAGGGTAGGCCAATGGCTCAGACAGCCCCAAAACCTCATTGACTTAAATTCAACAATAGTTTTATTTATTGATTAATATTTTTATTTTTGAGATAGCGTATCACTCTGTTGCCCAGACTGGGGTGTAGTGGTACGATCACAGCTCACTGCAACCTCGACTTTCTGGGCTCAAGGGGTCCTCCCACCTCAGCCTCCTAAGTAGTTGGGACCACAGGCACATGCCACCATGAGCGGCTGATTTTTTGTAGAGACAGGGTCTCCCTATGTTACCACACTTGTGCCAAACTCCTGGGCTCAAGCGATCCTCCCGCCTTGGCCTCCCAAAGTGCTGGGATGACAGGCATGAGCCACTGCGCCTGGCCAGGCCATGCTTTATTTTTTATTCACAACACAGGTTGATGGAGGGCTAGGAGAGTGAGCATGGAGGAATGGAGGCCAGGTCTACCACTCCTGCTCAAGTTCCATGGGTCAGAACCAGTCACGTGGCCACACCTAAATGCAGGGGAAGTCGGGAAATAGTCTAGGGTGGTGCCTAAAAAGAAGAGGAAACTGCAGATATTGGTGATCATGAGCTTTCTACAGCAGGCATTAAAAAACACAAAAACAGGCTTTGCAGATGCCACCGCCACTGCCGGGAGCCC